GTGGTCTGAAGGATACAGGGAAAGGGTCTAGGTAGGATTAAGGAGTGTCAAGTTAAGCTAATTAAGGAATCTAGGTAGGCTGGGGTGGGCCAGATGCTGTGGGCAGAGGCACCAGTGACCTGGGCTACTGAAATGTATGGGAAAATTCAGGGACTGGGGTGCTTTCAAAGACATGGTCTTTTCCTTTTAGGGGTCCAGCACAAATCCCATAACCCCATCACTGCTATATCTTTAAGAGACAGAGAGACATCCCTTTATGAAAAATACAACGTGGAAAAAAAAAAACAATTTAGGGGATCGGTTAGGAGTTACAGTTGCACTTGTTATTCTATGAAGTACTTCTCTCTTTGTAGCTGGGGAGTATATTTATTTTTATCTTTGATTTTTCAGGTTGAGAAAGGTGAAGAGAGACTTATTTCTTGTGAGAACTGTTAATTGTTATTTTATAAAGAAACCTTATAAAGTAAATTCTGTGAAGAATGTCTAAAATAGGCGATTTATAGTGAATTCTGGAAAGAGTATAACCTGTGATGGTGGACAAGAGAAAGAAAAAGGACTAATAATAATAGTTAGCATTTATATATAAAGCATTTATACAGTATAAGTGCCTGGCTTTGTAGAGTTATTCAAGTCTCCCAGGGAAGGATTTATTTACCCCTAAAAAAGAACTCCCCCTTACATTTCAATGTTACTATTGTTTGCCACTTATGACTTTGGGGAGTCTAAAAGGGCATATCCTTGCATAATCTTATCCTGAGTTCCAGAATAATCCAAGGGGGTATGTTTTGATCGATACATCTTATTAATTACAAATATTATCTCATTTGATCCTCACAACAAATATTATTATTCCCATTTTACAGTTGAGGAAACTGAGGTAAGCAGCAGTTAAGTGACTTGTCCAACATTGGAGGCCAGATTTGAACTTAGTTCATCTTGACTCCTGTTCCAGTGCTAATGTTGAGGTTTAGGGGTGCTGGGACCCCGAAATAGCAACTCAGGTCCTGTCTCAAAAGAATTCCACCCAAGCCTTCTTTCAGCCAAAGACAAGGTTTATTAGTACTTTGGGTGGGTGAGATTTTAAGAAACCACCATATCGGTCAGATTCTTAAGGAATCTGAGCATTGGCTAGACTCTGAAGGAATCCACATGGGAAAGTCCAGGGCTTTTTTTGGGGGGGGGTCTGACCCCAAAGACATCTTTTCCTTTTAGGGGTTCAGATCCCATCCCCATCATTAAGATAATTTATTTTCTAAGAGACTGAATTTAACTCCTATCTTGAGAATATGAAGAGGATACTTGAGATATTTGGTTTTGAATGAACTAAACGTTGGAATTGTGTTTCCAGAAGTGAAGAAAAATTATCTGCTATTCTATTGAGGGTCTGAGATGACTCTGGCTATGATCTTTGGCAACCTAAAATAGTATAAGTAATTATATTTTTATTACTGACTTAATTTGTTAATAAATTATGTATTTAATGTTATTTGTAATATTTAATATTTGTAATATCTGATCATAGCCATATTAAATGTTTTAATATGTAGAGATATGTATAACTGCTATTGGGAAAGTTTTCCCCATTTATTCAATAAATAATATTTAATGAATTAGGGTGGGTGGGTTAAGCAAACTGAGTAATTAATGAGAAATAAGTTTTCAGTTTATTAATTAATATGGATCAAAATATCCCACCTTGATTATTCTGGAATTCAGGATAAGACTATGCAAAGGTGTATCCTTTTAGATTCCCCAAAGTCATAAGGGTCTAAGCAACAGAAACATGGAAATCTAAAAGTGAGCTGATTTTAGGTGTAAATAAACCTGGAGGGGATTGGGGGGAAGAGTAAAATAGCTCAACCAAAATTTAAAAGGCAGGCAAAGACAAGGGCTTGGTACCCTGGAGACACTGGAGGACATTGGCTGCATTTTTACCTTAGTCTCTAGCAGCTCTTCAGGATTAGACTCCCTATGGGAGTTATAGAAATGTCTTCTAGCTCAATCCTGGCAGACGAATTAAAATGTGGAGTCCTTTCCTGAGGGAACTTCTTTCTCCAGAGTAACTAATTTTCTCTTAATGGCTAAATCTAATGGCTTTTTCTTCATCTGGATCCTTCTCGACCTGTCTGTTGCCTCAGACATTGTTGATCACCATCTCCTCCTGGATATTCTCTCTCTTGGTTTCAGGAAAACTACTCTTCTTTAGCTTTCCTTCTACCTACAATTCTTTCTCAATTTCTTTTTTTTTTCTTCTTTCTCAATTTCTTTTGCTGAATCTTCTAACAGTGACTGTCCCCCAAGGCTCCGTCCTTGGGTTCTCTTCTCTTCTACCTTTACACTATTACATGTGGTGAACTCTTTAGCTCCCAAAGGTTCAATTGTCACCTCTACGAAAATTTACCAGATGGATAAATCCAGCCCTAGTCTTTCTCTCCATTGTTCCTAGTCCCACTGAATCAACACCTGCCTTTTGGACATCTGAAACTGGATATCCTATGAGCATTCTCAAATATGAGCATAGCCAAAACAGAACTCATCTTTTCTCCCAAATCTCCTTTCTCACAGACCTCTCTATTACAGCTAGCTGATGGCACTACAATCTTCCCAGGCTTCCAGAAGATCATCCTCAATTAATCCCATGTAATTAATATGTTGCCAAATCTTGTTGTTTCTAATTTTACATTTCCCTTATGCACTCCCTTCCACCCACTCATCCCCCATCCTATTACAGGTCTTAATCCCTTCTTGACTGGGGCATTAAAATTGATTTCTAACAAACAGGTCTCCCTGCTTCAAGTGTCTTCAAATCCATTCAGCTGCCAAGGTGACTTTCCTAGAGTGCAGGTCTGACTGTGTCACCTTCCTAATAAATTTAGTGGTTCCCTATTATCTTCAGCATCAAAAATAAAGTCCTTAATTAGGCATACAACCTGGACCCTTTCTGCCCTTCCAGTTTTCTTATTCTACTCTCCCATTCACTCTCCAATCCAGCTACTCTAGAAGAACTAGATGAATATGAATACTGTGAGTCTGGGGAAAACATCTCCCCAGAAAAAAATCTTACAGGTCCAAGAAATGGAGATTCAGGTTTTCTTAAACAAAGGCAGCCTCAGTCTGTGTTTTATTCAATAACAGGATAAACCCATCAGTTCTATCTTGATGGAGTCTTCTTTAGAAATTTACCTAGCTTGGATATTCTGATGGGATTAATTACTGAGAAAACTAGAGACTTCCTGTCCCCCCTGGATATTTCATCCATTGGGACTGACTACAGAGAAGACATTCCTGCTGGAACAAACCTCACCTTTGGCAACTCTGATTTATTGACCTCCAGTACTGAAAAGGACCAAGGTAAGAGGAGCAACTGCTTGGGAGGGTCTCAGTGTTGAGGTTTAGAGGTTTAGGGGTGCTGCAATCCCAAAATATTGAGAACAAGAGACGCAGGTCCTAAATGAATGAATTCGACCTAAGCCTTCTTTCAGCCAAAGACAAGGTTTATCAGAGATCTGCCATATTGGCCATACTCTCAAGGAATCTAAGCATTTGTATTGCTGATACAAGTGGGCCAGATTCTTAGAATCTAAGCCCTTGGCTAGACTCTTGAAGAATCTGAACATTGGCTAGATTATAAGAATCTGAGCACCTTAATGGTGGCCAGATGGACCTTATATACAGAAAGACTATGGGAGGGATCTAGGAATAGCTAAGTAGTTTGGGATGACTGGAGAAGGGGTCTGGGAGGAGTATCTTGATGGGAGTGGCCAGTAAGCTGGGGTGACCAGAGGAGAGTTCTAGGGAGGATCTTGATGGGAGTTATTGGGAGGTAGAGAATGGGGTCTAGATAGGATGGAGGGTGGGAAGTAGGGATGGGCCATGGGAGGTAACAGACAATGGAGGGCTGGTCTAGGGTAACAGAATTGAAAGATTCAGGGTAGGTGATATGAAAGACCAGTTGATAGGATTATAGACTCAGACAAACACTAGAGATTTCCTTGATCCAGTGAGAGTTCAAGGAGAGTCCAAGGAGGGGTTTTCTCTAGGGCCTGTAGACAAATGGGACCCAAATTCTTTTTGGGGTAAGGGGCAAAGGTCTCCGCTTGGGCCTGTACCCCATCATCAGGACGTCTGGGTTCAAATTCCCCAAAACACAAGATCCTCCATGACCCAACTTCGGCATTTTCACTGCTTATTCTTCGTGTATTGATGCCGTCCTTCCCCATCTCTGCCTCTTAGCTTCCCTGGCTTCTTTTAAGATCTAGTTTCCAAATTTCGTTAACAAGTCTTTCCCATCCTCTCCCTGCTGCCAATGCTTTCCCTTTGAAAATACCCTCCTTCCACTTTCTATATTGTTTCAACCATTAGAACGCTCCTTGAAGGTAACTGTAGTACTTTTGGCTTTTCCTTTTATCCCCAACACTTAGCACAGCATCTGGCATATAGCAAGTATTTAAAAAAGTTTGTTCTTTGATGTTAAATGAGTTAAGGTAGCTTGGATAATATCAACACCATGAACTCTGTGGCATCTCAGCTTCTCTGAATATAAGGTGATTTAGGTGTTTTCTATCACGTCCGAGGGATCTGGGCATTGAAAGGCAGTGAAGGGTCGTGGACAAGTGCACAGGACTGACAGTCTGGAAACCGAGGCTCTTGTTTGGCCTTTACCACTCCCCTCGGACAAGCGACTTCCACTCTCTGGGCGTCAGTTTGCCAATCTTTAAAATGGGGATCACAGATGAACAACAGAAGTTCCAGCTTGCCTCACGGGGGATGGGGGTTATGAGGGTGAGATGAATCAAGGTGTTGGAGAACGCTTAGTACCCCGCAGAGTACCTTAGAGTACTACCTAACCCCCATTCCCTCGGGCCCGGGTTCAGCCTCGGCTCGCTCCCGTCTCGCCCCCCTGCCGAGCACCAGGCGCAGGTCCAGACCCGGTCCTACGGCCGCGCTCAGCGGCTGTCAATAAAGTTTCTGGGAGCCGGAAGCGGAAGTTGGGAGTCTCCATGGCGGCGGTAGCGGCGGGCCCGGTGTTCTGGAGGCGGCTGCTGGGCCTCCTGCCCGGCCGGCCCGGGCTGGTCGCTCTCCTGGGCCGCCTCTCGGACCGACTCAGCAGGAACAGAGACCGCCACGGCCGGAGGTGAGTGAGGGGCTTCCTGAGCGGGGAGGGGCCGGGGCAGGAGGGGCTACGCCGCTGCGGCTGCGGGGCGCGAGGGAGCGCTGAGGCTGCTGCTCATCCCCCCGCCCGGGCTCCCCGCGGACGCGCTCTTCCTCGCCCCCCGGCCTCGGACTTCAGTACCCCCCCTCCCCGCCCCGGGGCCTGGCGCCCTCTCCCCACCCCTCCGCCTGGGTCACGCCCCCGGCTCCGCTCTCTCTCCCTTCTCTACTCCGAACACCCCTTTCGGACTTCGGAGCGAGAGGCCGGCAGCCCCCGTCCATCTCCTGCCCGCTTCCTGCATCTGCTGCTGCTCTACCGGCCTCGGCCTGGTGCTAGGGAAGGTGCCGCGTGTGCCCGGGCATTCCGGGCAGCGGCGCTCGCCGTGCTCGTGGAATGAATGGCCTAACTCTTGTACCAGGATGTGGTCAGTGATTGCATGTCTTCTCACTGCGGACGTTGTCGGGGTCAGGGTATCCTCTCACCAGTGTTTGGGTCTTTTGTAATCCTTACTACAAGTGACACGCAGTGAGTGAATCAGCCTTGCTGGGATTTTGTGCATGCAGCTTTTCTCACATCCTGGCTGTGAAGCAATCCCCATTGAATTCAACTCAAGCCGGGTAGGGTAATCACTTGAAGCCCCTATTGCTCTTTTCAAGAGGCTGATGTTTTGGAAAAGTACTCAGTTGGCTTATGTCAATAGTAAAGTAGATTTTGAAACAAACTGTACTAGAAATAGCCCTTGAGAATAAATATTTCTCCAAGATGGTGCTGAATCTAGATTGTTGCTGTGATTCATTTGTGCATTTCTGTTGTGTGTTAATAGACTTCTTTGTATCCTGCCAGGGAGACTTGAGCCTAAAGCAAACACTTGTTTAAAATCTTAAGACCAGTTTCCTTAGGTGATGCTAAATACTTTAAAGGATATTTATATTACTTGGGTAAGATTAGGACTCCTGACCTTCAGCACAAATGTCAGTGGCTTTAGTCCTCTGTGGTGGGCATAGCTCCTTGAGAAACTGTTCTTGGATTATGATGGAGCCTTTCTTGCCCAAGCCCCATAGTGAAGGTTTGTCTATCTCACAAAGCTTAAATAAAACTTTAAATTTGTTAAATCATTGGTTACTGATACTGTTGATCACCCTCTCTAAATAATTTCTTCACTTTGAGATTTTGTGACATTGCTTTTTCCAGATTCTCCTACCTTGCTAAGTATTCGTTAGCCTTCTTTGCTGAATTGGCATCTGATGTCACACTGGCTAACTCTGGGTGTATCCCAGGACTCCATCCTGAGCCTTCTTTTTTGTTCTCTTTTCTCACTTGGTAACCTCACCAGCTCCCATGAGTGATGATAATAATTTATAAAACACTTTAAGATTTGCAAAGTACTTGTCATGCTATCTCATTTGATCCTAAGCAACTCTGTGAGGTAGGTTCTATTATTATAGGCATTTTACAAATGAGGAACCTGAGAGGTTAAATGACTCACTCAGGTTCGCACAGTAGTGTGTGTGTAGTAGCGTCTGACGAAGTTCACATCTCTATCCATTCTACCATCTACCTGGTAATCTCTATTATCTATTGTCATTTCTTTGTCAGTGACTCACATCTATATATCTGTGTAGCTATATATATTTGCATTTCCATTTGCCTGTTATATTTCACATTGGATGTCCAATAGGAATCTCGTTCATCGTGTCCAAAACCTAGCTTATTATCTTTACCCTTCAAGCCAATTCCTTTTCAGAACTTTCTATTAGTGAGGCAAGTACTGTCTGTCCTTCCAGTCTTCATTCTCACTCACTCCCCATATCCACTTGGCTGCCAAATTTTGTCATTTCTATCTCTTCAATGTCTATCTTGTATATGTCCTCCTTCTTTCCTTTCACATAGCCACTGTCCTGGTTTAGGCCCTCAATCGTATCTTACCCTAGACCTTTTTGCAATATTTATTTTACTGCCTCAAGTCTTTTCCTCACTCCTTCCACACAGCTGCTAAAATGACTTGGGTCTGACCTTGTCATCCCCTCTGCTCAATTTTTTTTTCTTACTTCTGAGATAAAATATAAACTTCTGGTATTTTAAAACCCTTTTCAACCTGGCCTCTTCCTTTCTAGTCTTACACATGCCTGACTCCCTTGCATGTATGCTATGGTCTAGCCATACTGGCCTATTTGCTGTTCCTCATACATGACACACTATTTCCTGTCCTTGTGATTTTGCATTGGCCATCTCCTCATGCCTGGAATATTTTTACCTCTTACCCTGTGCTTTCCCTTTCCAAACTACCTTGTATTCATTTTGTATATATTCTGTATATATTATATGTTCATGTTGATTTCTCCTTTAGAATGTAATCTTGAGGGCAGGGACTGTTTCAGTTTTTTCTTTGTATCACCAGAGTTTAGCACACTGCCTGACATATACCATTCAAGGCAGAAATGCTTTTTGAATGATTCATAGACTAAGGGCTAAAAGGACTTTAGGAGATTTCAGCATCAGAAGTGCTTCAAATTCTACATTACTGCCTTTGTGGTAAAGTAGCTTTGCCTGTGCCCATTTACCAAAGGGAATATAATCCATTCCAGGATATGGTGAGGTCAAGAAGGCAACCCACCGAGAGATTGATTTGTGGTGGGTTTTGAAAAAGTGTTGTAACTTTGAGGACAAACAATTCAAGTTGTTCCTTTTTTGTGCTTAAATGAGAACAGTTCCTGGCAAAGGAAATTGGGAATGGTTTGCTGACTGGTGTTGAGGCAATAACAACTCATAACATTCATATAATAATAGCTAATCCTTATATAATTCTTTAAGGTTTATAATACTCCTTACAAAAAACTCTATGAAATAGATGGCTTATTTACAGAGAAAATAGTGTTCCCTATAATTCTTGAAAATAAGATACTATCCTTCTTGAATGGCTTACAAGGATTAACTAGATAATCGAAAACTCCTATACATACTATAAAGAAAGAGTAGTATGTGTGGTTCCACATTGATCTTTGATAAGCTTAGAGTGGCATTTTGTGGCCACTTTGGTTGAAACATAGATAGGAAGACAGATGAGGCAAAGGAAAGTTCCCTTTACCTCACTGTCTAGTCAAAAAGCTAGTGAAAAAAAGCTACTATTCTCTCAAAATTATTCCAAATTTATGAATAAGATAAAGACTCCTTTCAAGATCCATACTGTGATGGATTTTTCATCTCACTGATGTGAATATTCCTTCAGTGCTTCATAGAGCAACCCATCCATGTATTCTTATTTTGTACTGATGTTGTCTATGAACTCTCATGTCTTCCCTACAGGTTCCATCCATTATGCTGGGGGTCTTCCTCTAGCTTTCTTGTGTCCATTTAGCCTCTTTACTAACTTCTGATTGCTATTTTATTCACTATTTTTCAACAGTCAGTAAACACATAAGGGCCTGCCCTGTGCCAGATACTTTGCTAGGTGATAAGGATGAGACATAAAAGAGGAGAAATGACGCTTTCCTTCAAGGTCCTTAAATTTTATTGGAGGAAGCAACATATATGCATATAAGTAAATATAAGATCTATACATGCTAATTTTTTGAGAGGAGATGCTGGATCTGGGGAAGATCATGTAAAGCCTCATGTAGGAGATAGCATTTAAGCTGAGCTTTGCATGAATTCCAGGAGGCAGAAGTAAAAAGCTGGTGCATTCCAGTGATGGGAGATAGCTTATACAAAAGTCATGGAGCAGGAGATGGATGGTTAAGTGTGAGTAACAGCAAATAAATAAGGCTGAGTGTTTGAGAGCATAAAATATTATTGTGTAATAAGCCTATTACAATGGGCTATAACCATATTGGAGAGGACTTTAAATGCTGATCTTGCAACTTCCTATCCTTCAAATAATCTAGTTTTCTGTTACTATTCCAGCTACTTTTTCACTGATTGTTGCAAACTTGGCTTGCTTGTTTTAGATTTCACTGTGGCCATTGACAAGTCAATTGTTTAGAGTCAAGATGGCTAGGAAGACAGATGAAACAAAGGAAGGATCTCTTTACCTTAATGTGTAGTCCAAAAGCTAGTGAACACTATTCTCTCAAAATTATTACAAATTTATGAAGACAATAAACACTCCTTTCAAACAAGTATAAAATTATTTCTTTACTCTTATTCCATTAACACTAGTTTCAGTTATATACATTTCCTCATATCCCTTAGTGGTATTTCTGCCTTTCCTTCCATACAAGGTAAAGTATTTCCTGAGACTATTTCCTTGATGTAGAGTATTTTTGAGCTACGACAGATCATCACTGTAGTCTTGTTTCCCTTTCATTTAAGTTGGGCATTCCAAACACTGTCATCTTCCCTCTTCATCAGGTTATGAGTGAAAAGTCTATGATGACTTGATGACTAGGCTGCTTTTCCAAGCAGACATTTGTGGTCTAATGGCAGATCAGCATGCGGCTGTTTGCATGATGCTTAATTTCCATTCTAAGGTAGAGACAGATCTGTTTTATGATTTAGAAAAGGAGGCAACTCAGCACAGTGGGGAGGGCTTGTTTGGAGTCATGACCTGGGTTTCTCTTCCAGTCCTGATATTGTGTGGGTCTTGGGCAAGTCACTTACCCTCTCTACACCTCAGTTTCCTCATTTAAATTTTCCTTAAGGTTGAACAAGGATCAATTATGGAACTCCTACCACCATGGAGATAATAATTTCGAAAGTTAAACCAATGTAAATCAGTTGCCAAAATAGACAAAAAGAATCCCATAAGTGCCTTAGTCAGCAAATTTCTGACTTACCAAAATAGAGATGGCTGCCAAAGGCAATGCAAATTTAGAATGTAAACTTTTAAAAGTTTTACAAAGAATGATGATGGATTATTATATTTAGTATCATCTCCTGAAGCAGAGAGAAGTACTGGAGGATAAAAAACTAGTGGGTTTTTTTTTTTATTTAAAATTTATTTATTTATTTATTTTTAGTTTTCAACATTCACTTCCATAAACTTT